TGAAAGTACTTCTGAGTGATATTATAATAAAAATAACCAGGAATGGTGAAGTAGAAAATTATACTACTTCTTATACTAAACATACATTTGCAATTTTGAGCACATGAAGAAAAACTCTTAGTTGCCAATGTATCCCTACATACCTCATCTTTTATCAATACATGCTCTAAAGAACAAATTCAAGTTTTATACTATTTTGATGACTGTTCCTTAATGGCAGATAGAAAGAAAACCCAAGCCTGTACCTCCATCCGCAGCAGAAGCCAAGGTAAGTGGTTATGACATAGGAAGCCGTTTGCTTTCTCTTAGGTCTGTGTATAACACAGGGTGACCAATGAGGCCATTCCACTGTTTCTTACACAATTCTGTTAATATTAATTTTCTTCCCCCCCTGCTGGGCCAACCTCTTTAACTTAACTCCTCCTGTCATTTTAGCATATGAACACAAATACCCTTTTGTTTAAGGTGGATTTAATCTGAAAACACTCCTTTATCTCATGCAGCTCCAGCATTGGTAACGACATCTAAAACAGTTACTTCCTCAGACTATGACTGCAGCCAGTTACAGTTAAACAGTTAGTGTTTATCTCTGCACCAGATATTATTCAAAATCCTACAAAACAAGGGCACCACACAAACCTTCCGTATACTAACAAAGCTTTGGTAGCAGAAGCAAGTTTTGCAAAATTCAGAGTACTGACATATTCAGTCTCTTCCTTATTGTGCAAGAGCTAATGAACCTTCCCTCCCTTCCAGGGTATGTCTAAAAATTCAGGTTTTTTTGAGAGAACCTCTACAAGCAAGCCTGCATTGTGCAGGGCTCCACTCTGGCTGGTTTGAGGGTGAGAAAATCCCATGTTATTCCATGGGAAACAGAGGACATGGCCCAGATGCAAGCTCCTCACCAGGAGCTCAGGAGGGCAGGACTAGAGCTGACCCCTAATGTGTCCTTAGATTTGTGTAATTTGTTTCCATAAAGCTCTGACAATGTTCAGCAGAGATATAAGGGCATGTCTTCTAAAACTGTGTCATGTAGATGTGCCACAATACTCACCATATGCCTAGCATGTGGTATTCAAATAAAACCCACAAATGCCATACAAGCTTATTCAGAGTCAGAAGTTCAAAATGAGGGGGAAAAAAACGTAACATTATTTGTAAGATGAAGAGTATTATAGTGGGAGTTCACTTTTAAAGTCAACTACAAAAAAAAGTTTCTTTCATGCAACTTATATTTATCTAAAATTAGAAGGGATGTCTAGATGACTTTTTAATCACAGAGATACTGTACGAAAATCAACTCATATTTAAATTTTATCTCCCAGTACGATAACAATTTCTAATATGCCAAAAAATGTACCATCTTGTTAATACAGATCTAAAATAGGAATGAATTTGTCTTCGTAAGACACTGCATTTGATGGAAATAGCTATTATTACCCTATCATATCTGCAGTACCAGAACAGGGAACAAATTACGGTACACTTTTAAAATATTAATTGAAAGTACAGTTCACTATTGCAAAACTACAGCATAAGGATAATGTGTTTTATACAAAAATAAGTGTCTTGAGAAAGCACAGGAAAAAGAAAAGGATATGTCTTTGTAGTAAAGTTAGAACTTCTGAAATTGTTTAGAGGGTTTTAAATGTCAAAAGGTTTGCATTAATTTTCAACAAATACCAAACCTATAGCAATTGAATCTACTGCCCTGATAAGTATTTTTCACGCCTTTCAAAAGGAAATACTGCCTGAATGAAGAAAGCAAGGTGGGCTGAAAACTGCCCAAATTCCTGTGCTTGAAGGGCACTGATCAATGGGAGCTGCCCTGTTGGCGGCCAGCAATGAGGATAGCACTGCAGGGGTCAAGTGTGTGGCCTGTCACTTAACATCTCACCAGTGACCTGGGCAAGGAACTAGGCTACGTGCTAACAAGCTCACAGATGACATTAAATTAGGAGGGTGAGATGGAATGCCAAATGCCTGAGCTTCAATCAGGTCATTGCTCAACTCGAGGACTGGGCCAGAAGACACTTCATGAGGTTCAACAGAATTGCAAAGGTCTGCACCTTGGGTCTCCACCCTACCCATGTGCTGGGAAAAGCTGGCCAAGCAGCAGCCCAGTCAAAAAGCAGCAAGAACTTAAAACGCGTGCCAAAGGCTGCAAAGGAGCCAACAGTGAGTCCTCACTGCAGTATGGGAAGCCCCATTCTGGGCTACACTGGCAGGGGTTGTGGAAAGCCCACTACCCCCACGACTCAGTGCAGGTGAAATTTCACAGGTTGTCTAAAAATTATCATTTGTATAGAAGCCCCCATACCTATCCTCTGTTAACTCATTCTCTTTAGAAACAGCATAAAATATGCCATGTCCCTCAAGGGTACAGGAAAACTTTAACAAAATATTTTACATAGAATCCAGAGAATCCTGCACTGTAAGCAACTGCTTTATGTCACATCTGCTAGCACTTTTCAGTTTCTGGTAGGGACTGCAAATATTTTGTGATACATTGCTTTGTGTTTCCTCTACTTACCAATTAACTAATTTAACATTCAGTAGGCTTAAGAAATGCCTTCAAAAGAAAGATTTACTATATCGAAGATTTTTTTTATTCTAAACCCATTATTTTTCTGTCAAAGAATGTCAAATAAGCAATTGTAAAAAATAATTAAATCGGTGATAGCATCTTTAGTGTTCACCAAGTTTCACTTTGCATTGCAAATAATGATATTCACACAAAGCACTAGCAGAACAATGTAAAACTAAAGACCTTATTTCTGTATTTAAATAAAAAAAAAATTAAAAAAAATTTGAGGACATGCAGTTTTTGTCCCTCAATGTACTAGCAGTCATATACATGTAATGCTTTCTAATATCCACATACAAAGGCTGGAGCATGAGGTGGGAAAATGCTTAATAATCTTGTTTTTAAGGAAAGTGACACAAACTAATTAATTGCTATTTTGCACACAATGTGCCAATTTGATTCATAGTGCAATGCCATTAAAATAAGTAGGATAAAGTTAACTAAATAAAATTAAACCCCCAAACTTTTATATATTTTCATTTTCCTATAATAATAATTGCAGACCTTAAAAAAAAAAAATCACATTCAATGAGGAAAGAAAAATACATCATTCTTTGAATAATTCAAAATTCTCTGTTAATCTGAACACAGGTTTCTTTAATGCCAAATATCTGTAAGCAACCCAGGGATTTTATACCAAATATTCACAAGCAATTCATGAACATCCACAATTCTTAAAAAGTTTACTTAGGATTTTCTTTAGGTTTTCATAGTTCTTCCTGATAACGAAACTGTGTGAAGAAATTGGAATTCACTAGTAGCTAGGTGCTCTGCTAGTTGCTTTGTCATACAAACCAGCAGGAGAAGTAAATGTATATTAAATAAGCAAAGTAATCTCAGTTCTGTAGACTGCAAATGGAAGAAGCAGGTGGAGAGCTGGGTATGTGTGGCGATCTACTGATAACTGGTCAAGCAGCTCTGCTGGCAGGATCACACAGCTGTTTTTGTCAAGTTTCAGTACCAGAATCAATCTTAAATAGAAAAATTCAAGTGCACTATGTACACTGTGTACGTGTAAAAAGAAATACAGTGTATATGCATGAAATCTAATCTATCATCAGAGCCTGGTACATGCATAAATGGAAGACTAGATCATAACATACGGAATGCCGTTTTTAGCTAATAAAATTACTTTCCTTACCTTTTATCAAAATCTGTCCTCCTACAGTTTAATGTTTGAGACTTTAAAATAGAAAGTGCCAAGCTTTCTCCCACGTATATTAACTGAGGCTTAGCAACACATAAAAGATTTGGTTCTTGAACAAACAAACAAAACAAAACAAAACAAAACAAAACACCACAAACCAAATGTGGATGGAGAAGAAAAGAGAGCCAGTAAACTAAAAGGGGTGTGCATGTGGCAGAAAATAGTTGCAGTTACAGTACTACACAGCTTCTGGAGAGAGGCCAGAGACCTTCCCATGAAATCTTTCTGTGCTTTTAATATTGTTCAAAAGCTTCAGGGAATTCTAATTGTATAAATAGTTACGGGGAAATGAGATTCACCGTGAGATTATGTCCAGCCAGTGGTCAAAGTGATGATTGCATCTCAGCATCAATCGTTCAGAATATGAACCTTCTGACTAGCAATTCACAGACATTCACCAAAATTGTCTCAAACTTAGTTCACATTTTCTTCTCAGCTTCATTATACAGCCAGCTTCTCAAAGCTAAAGCATGTACAGTATATCTCAGTCTTCTGAAATACAGTTAGATGTTTGGTTGTCTTTTCATTTTAAATACTGCAGGCTCTCCAATATTTTTATCATGATAAAATTCTAGTGCTTTAAAAGTCTGCCCTTCACACAAGCCTAAGCATACATATTTTAAAATTCCTTACTGTACATCTTCATATTTTGTTTAAGGCATGAACAATGGCATATGAATGGGAACAGCTTCCGGAAAAGCATATCTGTTTGACAAAGGCCAGTCCAAGCACATCACACCAAAGGACTAACCTGAAGCCAGAAATAACAGTGTTGTGACCGAAGAGTTTTTAACAAAAATAGTTGAAACAAAATGGATTTTTTTCTCTTTTTTCTTCCCTTTTTTTTTTTTTCTCATTTAAATTACATTACTCTTAATGTCTTTTTAAAGCACCGGTTGCAGTTTTGCATTTGCCACCTCTTCCGAATTACTTTGGATTACTCATCTGCTTCATTTGTTCTGAATTTTCAGCATATGAAACTTTTAAAGGTTTTCTGTTTCTTTCTTTTTTTTTTTCTTTTTTTTTCTTTTTTTTTTTAATGGCTGCTGCAAAATTAAAAAGATCCAGAAGTGGTCAGGGGCCTGGTCTAATGCACTTCCAAATGTCCGTTATAAAGATGAATATAAATGTGAATGACAGGTTTTCCCGTAGACCCACAAACCACGGTTAGCTATAAGAAACATATTGTGCATAGTTATTTTTTTCTTCAGAGTGATATGTTTACTAGATGTACATTCTCAGTTTACCAAAGTACAGGAATTTCTACTTTACTGAAGCCAGGATCCTTTCGCAGTTCCCAATAGGTGTCATTGGTAACCCAGGCTTCTCTTTGATTGGCATCGATAACTTTTCTGTAGAAAGGAAACAAAAAAATGAAAAAGAAGAGAGAGGAAAAAAGGTCTCACCACAGATCTCTGCTATTATGCAATATGAAATCAAATTTCATACTTCTCTGATCTAACCCAATAACAAATTTGATTTCATATTTCTAAAGGACATAAGAACAGCCAGGTATTTAAAGATAAAAATGAACCTCTACCCATGTCTAAAGTGGAAGGTTTAGAAAACAGCCAAGATGGCAGATGTGTTGTCTGGTCTGTGTGAGCAGGTCTTAAGGCCACGTAAATCCTCCTTGGCCATTACAGATTCTGAATATGTGCAGGGGATCAACCAAGAGATCTAGCCTGCAGTATGCAAGCCTTTTACAACCTATATTGTTTTTCTCCTCTGTATTTTGCTCATCTTCCACTACAAAACCACATCTAGCATGTTCAATCTTTTCACTTTTGATTCCTGATGCTAAAATTCAGGCTATTTGGTGTGACTACCCCTTGTTTCAGAAGAAAGCTTAATTAAAAACAAAACAAATCAAACAAAAATTACCCTCCCTCCACTCAAAAAAAATTCCATAACTGTTCTTTAAGTGTATATATATATATATATACACATTTATATATGCATTTTATATAAATATATATATATATATATGTATGTATGATCTTGTTCAGGTTACCATTTATTACACTGCTTATGCAATCACTTAAAACAATAACAGTTGAATCTTGGATCCTATTATTATGCTTCTATTCTCCTTCAAAGCTAAAGAACGTTGTCTAAAGGGTGCAGCAGACTTGTGTAGTGGTTGCCCATTGTGAGAAAATACCTTTCAATTATGAAGCTTTAAACTACGTAAAAATTGCTTCAGACAGAGATCAGGTGTTTAATTATTTTTCTTAAAATTGCCATTCTCCAGACTTTCACAACTTACACTATGACATTTAGACTATGTTGCTGGTAACTCTCACAGTACTTTTTCCAGTCACACTACTACAGATTTACTACTGGAATCAAGAGAGACTCACTTAAAAAATTTGGGTACATATTCAATGCTGTTTTCTTCCATATATCGCCTCCGACCTCTCTGGAGTTCCTCTATTCTTTGTTTCTCGGATGCTGCTGCTTCTATATTTCCTTCTTCCAGAAGCCTGTATGAATAACAACAGGTTCTATAGCAATCATAGTGTCTAGACCAAGGGATTTTCTAGCACCAACATCATAAAAGACAAGCAGAAGCCAAGACTCTTGTCTGTGTCATACCCACTTTTAGATCTAGTCCTAACCTCATGAGAATAACCAAGATGTGACTCCCCAGTTACATGACCTATGTATGCTAAGGCATACGCTTTCTTCAGTAACTTCAGTGTATCACAAACACTGAACTACTATGAACTGAGGATTAAGAGGGAATTAATGTTGTCTCCATTCACAGCAGGAGGGCATAAATTCAGAGCCTGTCTTTACAGTATCTTGAATCCAACCTCTGCCCGAAGATTGCACTATAGCTCTATGATACCAAGATGCTTTCTACTTTCCCTCAGCCGGGTAAAGCAGAAATTTGATTGAAATACTGAATACCTTCTTTGCTAGAAGAATCCTCCAAAGCTTAGTTCAAACTGTAGTGATGACACAGACAAAAAATCAGCACTCAAACTAAGCCAAATATTAAGTGCATAAATAAGCATTCTTGCCTTTGGTCTGGCCTGAATCGTGCATCTGTTGTAGGAAGAAGATCTTTCAGTAATGGATCTAGTTCATTGAGCTCAATAGCAACCCTTGTAAAGCCATAATAACGTTCATAATTGGTTGGCATGGAGCCTGTATGAATATGTATGAGAAAGAAAAAAGCTTTTTAAACTACTATTCTAAATATGCAAGAGATTATTTATTAAATGTTAACAGCAACAATATTACTATGTTTTACTCTTACTTGCAATTCAAAAGCAACAAAAGCTATTCTCTAGGTGGAACAACATTCACTAAAACATTAATTCCAAGTGCTTATCCTGTAGAGTTTGTAACGACATGCTAGTAGATTCAAAACGTTTTTTCATCTCCCTTCCATTTTAAATAAAAATTATTGTCTTCAAGTTAAAGCTTCCTGTTCCCTGGAAAGTGGGCTTATCAAATCTGTATAAAAGCTAACCTTAACTATTTTAGAACATAACCCTCACTTGCAGACTGATTCAGCACAGTCCAACACTTTCAGCCATAACAGTAGCCTGACCAGACATTCAGGGAGTAAGGTGTAAAGGAACACTCAAAACACTATCAGTACAGAGTACGGTTCAAAATACTAACAATAATGACAACTCCTGGATAATCACTCTGCACGTATGAATGATATTATAAGTGCAAAGGATGAATAATTCAACCCCAATGCCTCTAAGCAAGCAGTAAGGAAGTTGAAATCAGCTCCTGAAAATCACAGGAGCTCACTATCTCTGAAGACCAATCCTTTAGGCTAGTAAAGCATTAAGACAACAAGCTCACTGGCACCTCCTATTTGTCGAATTCAAATAAGCTACCCTACTCTCTAGAGAAGGTAGGCAGGTCCAGTTACCATTTTTTTTCTTAATTTTATTCTTCCGTTGATCACAAGACCCCAGAATACTTGACCAGAAGTCATGCTGAGATGTAGAAGATGATACTCTGTAAGAACATTTCCATTTACCATTATTATAAACTCATGTAAATTCTTGTTTATTTGTGTAGCTCAAAAATTAATTTCCCCAGTAGAATTCTGTGTACTTAAAACGATGGCTACACCAGCTTTACATAGTTCAGGGTCACACTGCAGTGCAGGACAGCATTTATTACAAGCCTCTTACCTGGCCTCCATATGCATTTGGCTGAAGGTGCAACACCACAATAAAGGCCTTCATGCCACTTCCCAAAAAGGCGATGAACCACCTTCCCTTCCTGATCTATCACAACACCCTGGACCTCATTTACATTTGAATTCCAGTAGTTCACCTGCACGTTTAAAAAAGAATTACTCATTCACACTGTTTTTCACATCACCCATTGTACCAATACGGATACTTCATGAATCTTAATATGTGTCACCGACTGCCCAAATTTTGTATTGAAACAACTCACATGGAACCAAAAGTATCAGAATTTGAAATTCGGATGATCTGAATTAATATATGAGAATAAGAGAAACCCTGAATAATTTGTTATGTGGTTTTGGTATAAAACTATTTAAATTATCTGCACATCTGGGAACTATATTGTTGTTCATTAACCCAAATCCCACATAATTCAGCAGAAAGACACTTCAAAAGCTGCAAGATCAGAGCAAATCAACTCTGTCCTTTCCACATGAAGAAATACTGAATACCCCCATACATGTAAGGGGAGACTTTGACACATGCTGCACACTACTGTTAGCAGGAGGGAAGACGTTCAGCCAGTATTATTTGTTATTTGTCATTTTCTGTTTCTCTTCTCTGTTTTGCATTTCTTAGACACACTTATTTCTTATACCTTCACCTACTGATCCAATTGCCCATTCTCAGAACATCTATCAAAACATGAATTTCAACTTTACAGTAATGCATCATTGCTAGCACTGCAATCAAACTGATGCATTTTATTGCTATATGAAGACAAATTTATTTTTAGGGAAAATAATTGATAGCAACATAGCTATACAGTCATCTTTTTTTAGATATGGTCCTTGCCTGGATATTCAAATACTATGAACCAAAGCAGCATTATTTATCTAAAGAGAGAAAATACTAACTGTCAAATTCTAGTAAAGGCAGAAGTAAAATGGCACAGAAGTCTACAGTGATGTTGTGTTTTTATTGTGATAACAGAAATTTCAACATTTCATTTTTAACCTAAAATCAACAACAGTATAGCACATTGCTGTACCTCAATGCAACACTGATATCAAATGCTCAGTGGAATAGTCATACTACTTAACACAGCACTCTCATTTGATAATTTACATATTTACAAATGTTGCTATGACAAAATGTGGAATGTGGATTTTAGAAATAGTGAATAAACAGCTTGATGCATGCTAAAAATACAAAGCTTTATGAACATACGATATGTATTAGAATACATAGGTTACCTTGAGAAATGTGAGTTTACAAATACACACACTGCTTTTTGTGTTTCTGATAGTTATCTCTCCATAGTGTTCAATCCATCTCCTTCCACTAAGAATATTATGTATGCAAGTAGTGACTTTGTTCCAGACATAGTAGTCTCCATACCTAAGAACAGATTAACAAGTATTTGGTAACATATACTAATCATAACCATTATGAAGAAAAAGGTAAAAAAAATCTCCATTATAATAAATAAAGATCATATTGCTTAAATACTTTTTAAACGACGACTTGGTTTAACAAAGCAATGGTTCTGGGTACATTATTAATCCTCTATAGAGGAGCTCACCTAAGCTCTAGTGCAGAGAACTGAAGAATGGTGAACAAATCAAGACAAGAGCCACTGAAGCCCTGAACGGCATATTCACTGTCCTAAGAGCTATTATGTGCTTTGGCCACAACTCCTTTAGGGGCAGAACAGCAACCCAAAAATCAACATAAGGCTGAACTGAGGCTATAAGCACACAATGTAATTAAATTACAATAGAGGAAAATAAATTTGGAAAGGAGGTAGAAAGGAAGTAGGAAGCAGGAGCTCACTGGCACATCATTCCTTTCCCTCTGTTAGGACTAATAAGAGTCAAAGCATCTCTATTGTCACACACAGGAATAAAATGAGGGAATTATATCGTGCAAAGCACGTTCTCCTTCAGAGATGAGGGGCAAACATGAACACAAACACTAAAAATGTTCCTGAGTGCCCTTACTTCAGTTTCATAAGATGGATGAAGAGGTGAAGTGGACTGATGCCATACTGTCAGACGCATAAAGAAAGGTTGGCTGCAACATAAAGGAGCAGGAATAATACTGCAAAACCAGCAGACATGTTTAATGTATCCTCTCCTTGCATACTGTCAGGATTTACCACTTGCAGCTGCTCTCACCTGTGGTGAAACAACTTCTCACTACTCTGTCATCATCTGAAGAACATGTTTTTGCTTACCTACATTCTGAAAAACAACCTTATGTTGTTACCAGTGGTTGTTTTTGAGGGAACACTGAGCACTACTGAGAAAGTACTAGCTGCTGAGAGTCCTATCCTGCAGCCTTGTTCTGAACAGCTGATCACTACTGTACATGTAAAACACGGGTCCTCTCTCCCAAAACGTTTCTGTCCCACTCTGTCTATTGCATCCTCCAAAAACCCAAACAGATCTTCAGGCTCTAAAATGCATCAGTATCCCCACCCATACACTAAGGAGAGATTTGGGCTAGGCATTAACTCTCAACAGTGCAATTCATGTGATGTGATACACTTCCCCCAGTTCTTTCACAACACACCACAGATTGCAGCAAAGACTGAAAGCAAAAGGAAGTAAGACAGTAGCTTACTTTGGAAGAGTCACATTCAAGGTTCCAACTGGCAGAATTTCCATTGATTTCCCCCAGAATTTGTTTTTCCACCTGATATCTGAATATAATAGTCAAAGATTTACAAAACTGAAAAGACCAAAGTCTCCCCCCTGAAGTGATCTGGTGGCACACACAAGATGATCTGTGCTAGACCATCTGGTTTAAACTGAACAATATGAGGTTGCCATGAAACAAACAAACAAAACATTCTGACATTAGGTCAGAAAAAATAAATATAAGTTTTATTTTCTTCTAGGAGTCATGCCTGTGCTACATTATTGTCAGATCTCTCAGGAAAACACTCAATCGAAATTAAATGCATATACGAGTACAAAGAAGGAAAGAAAGAGCTGCTTGTTCAACTCTGTAAAAAAAGAATGCTTGTGTTTGTAAAAAGTAATAATTTTCATGGTAAAAAGCTTTTAAGGAGAAAATTATAAATAGACTCCAAATGACAAGGGAAGTTGTAACATGTTTGCTCACTGTTAAGAATGAGAATTTGGAGTGAAATAATTCAAAGCATCAGTTTGTAAAATGTTACTACAAAAATAATAAGCATAGAAATTTTGAGTAAGTTCCAAATGCAAAACAGCTTGTGCAGACAAAAGTATTACTTGCTAAAAAAGAGATGAGTTTATGCTTTTGAATTGAGAAAGTATACCTTGCCAAAACACAAAGTTCTTCGATTCACAGTGACAGGCTGAAATTGGAGGATGGTGGCTAACCTGGAAAACAATTTGGCTGAGTTAAAACTCATTCATTTTCCTTTCTAAGGCAATACAATTGTAACTGCAATATGAGAATACTAAATAGCCCACACTATTTTTAGTCTGTGTTGCTATGAAAACGGATGCGACTGAAGTTTGTACTTAAAACACTTCCTTGTGATTACTATAAAAAATATATACCTTCCAGCATCTAACAAAGTTCATTCATGCTACCAACCTTTCTTTACTACTAAGAAAGTAGACCATTCTAACTAGAAAGAAAAAATAAATTAATCTACAAAACAAAGAACCCAAAATCTAAATCTAACCAGGAGTAGCTCTCTGGAAAGAAGCTTTACCTGCTCTGAGAAAAATCGAAATCCTTTGTCTTCTCTAATACATTCATAAGTTTCACCAAGCACTGGGTTAAATGGCTTGCTTCCTGCTCTAAAGTACGTAGAGGCATACCCCGATGCTGCAAAAGCAGCAATGAGAACCTGTGAAAATACAGACAAAAACATAAGTAAGAACTGGCAGAGATTCTTGTGTATATTCCACTGTTATGAAGTATCACACAACTCACTCCACTCAGAGTGACATCTGGATTAATGAGGCATGCCTGAGAGTGAAGCCATACATCCCAGCCAGAACCAGTATAAATTCTATTTCTTTTGTTGATGTAATTTGTATAATTTTTCTTTGTGATCTCAGTCAGGCTCTTTAAACAGTCCCCTAAAATAACCATCTGCACAAGATACTGTTTTTCTACCTTTGACCAGGCTTATTATTAATGACCTAAAACACAGGCCCAGCTCTTGTCTATGCTCCCCGTGAATAAATATTAAAAAAACACAACAGGCACTCAGAAGTCAAAACAAAACTTCAGAAGAACAATATGGTGATATAAAAATCACTCAGCTATGGATAACCTGCTAGGAGCAGGGCAACCTTAACCAGATCCCACTCTCCACATGCTGGCAAGTGCATAATGCTTGTGTAAGCTTTTACTCCCACTGTGCAATGGGTGCTCCATTCTCTACTCATTTCATCTTATTTATAAATAAAGCATCAACAGAATTAACACTCTTTTGTGGGCTTTTCTTCAATAGGAAAAACCTTCATTCTTCCAAAATCATCTTTATTAATTTAATTATGGACACTACAGAGAAATGAGGGGGTTTACTATAGTTATCATATACAGAACAAGTGAGAAGAAAAAAGTTTCCACTACTTTCGAGTGCTTATTTAGGATAGCAAATTTCTGACTTTTCAGAGAACAGTTATGAAGCAGGCCACATATACATCACAGTGGGTGATGCTTGGGTATTCAGCACTTCTGCCAAATAATCCCACATGCCTCAAGCCTGGGTGTGTGATTTGCATTTTTAAGGTGGTGCTTAAAAATCTGGTTTGTATCTCCAGTATTGCACTAGGTAGCTGTAGCAGAGAAGGGAACTGAATCCACGTTTCACAGAATCACAGCATGGTAGTGGTTGGAAGTGACCTCTGGAGATCATCTAGTCCAACCCTGCTGCTAAAACAGGTTCACCTACAGCAGGTTGCACAGGATCACCATCCAGGCAGGTTCTGAGTATCTCTCGAGAAGGAGACTCTGGGCAGCCAGTTCCAGTGCTCTGTCACCCTCACAGTACAGAACTTTTTCCTCACGTTCAGATGAACTTCCTTTGCTCTAGTTTGTGCCCATTGCCCCTTGTGCTATCCCTGGGCACCAGTGAAAAGAGTCTGGCCCCCTCCTTTTGCCACCTGCCTTTTAGATATTTATAAACATTGCTAAGATCCCCTCTCAGTCTTTTCCAGGCTAAACAGATGCAGGGCTCTCGACCCTTCCTCTTAAGAGATATTCCAGTCCCCTCAGCATCTTTGCAGCTCTCTCTTGAACTGAGGACCCCAGAACCAGACGCAATACTCCAGATGTGGCCTCACTAGGGCGGAGTAGAGGGGGAGAAGAACCTCCCTCAATCTGCTGGTCACACTTTTCTAAGATGCACCAAAGGATACCATTGGCCTTCTTGGCCACAAGCACACGCTGCTGGCTCATGGTTAACTTGTTATCCACCATGATTACCAGGTCCTTCTCCTCAGAGCTGCTTCCCAGCACATCAATCCCTAACCGTACTGCTGCATGGAGTTGTTCCTCCCCAGGTGCAGAACTCTACACTTGCCCTTGTTGAACTTCATTAGGTTCCCCTATGCCCAACTCTCCAGCTTGTCCAGCTCTCACTGAATGGCAGCACAGCCTTTTGGTGTGTCAGCCACTCCTCCCAGTTCTGCATCATCAGCCAACTTGCTGAGACTACACTCCATCCCATCTTCCAGGTCACTGATGAATGTGTTAAAAAAGACTGGACCCAGTACTGACTCCTGTGGAACTCCACTAGCTACAGGCCTTCAGCTAGACTCTGCACTGCTGATCACAACACTCTGAGCTCTGTTGTTCAGCCAGTTCTCAATTCACTTCACTGTCTACTCATCTAACCCACACTTCCTAAGCTCTCCCCTCATCTACCCAGCCAGTCATACCATCACAGAAGGCTATTGCATTGGTTTCCAGGAAGCCTTCAGTTGCATTATAGCTTTTCCTTCCTGAACTCTATGGAGGCCTTCAATAATCACCTTCCAAGTTATTCAACAAAGAAGACTGAGTCCTACAGGCAAACAGCTTGCTTTACTCAGTACAATCATGCCCAGTCCTTACAGGATCTCCCGTTTGTAGACATAAGGAGTCTTGTAGGAAAACAGCAAATAGCATGTGATGATAAATAATAAGACTGGTCCAATTTCTTCAGTGGACAGCAAAAGATACCAGTGTTTAGAAACCCTTACTCTCCTGCAGATCACATGAACATGGCAGTTCATGGGCCTAAGTGTGTGGCTATATGGCACCCACAGGCAACTTCTCTTCTCCCAGCTATCCACAGTGCTGCCAACCCATACCAGGGAACAGTAGATAAGTTCAGCAACAACACTGCCAACATTCTTCTAACAGCTTTTCCCTGTTTCTTCTTAGCAAAAGGAGACGTAACAGATCAAAACACCTTGCAAGTTGAACACAGGCTGTTTGTTGTCAGTTAAAAAAAAAAAACAAACAAATGACAGAGTTGCAGGGGAGTGGAAGTCAGGGTGCCCAGGCAAAGTCTGTGTTGGTGTTCTGGAACTTCTGTATTAGAAATGCCCTAGGATGCTACCTTATTGACACCTACACTGATCATAAGCCAGCCACAGACTTGATTAGCTCTTGGAGGCTGCCAGAATTCATCACGGAAAGCCAGGAAAGGATGCTGCAGGGTTAGAAACTGCCAATGCTGATATATACAGCCCTACAGAGTGAAATCAGTCTCCTCATCAATGAGTTACAATTGCAGGACTTGGTGTGAAGTCAAGAAAAGTCCCTCAGCCTCATCCAGATCAAACCTACCACCTATACCTATCAGCAGCATTCACCTGACACAGGAGGGAGGTCTGTTTGTGAACAGAAAAAGCAAGAGAGGACCCTGCAAAGACCTTCACTCAACAGGTCCCTTTTCAATAAAAACATAACAAGTGCTACACTAAATTTATTACCATACGTTCATAAGGATCATCTGTCTCAGCAGCCTTGTCCAAGAGTTCACTGTATTCCAGCTCTTCACAAAGATGTTGCAAGGTATTCAGAGGTTCATTTAGCTCGACTGGCATGGATACTTTGGAAAGATCTTTGCCAATATTATTTCTCAAAATATTCCACAGATTTATGTTACTGGTGTCAGGGCTGGGAGCGGGGAGACACGTTCTTCGTCCATTCCTGAAGGCGCCTCCTGTTAGCTCACCATTAAGAACTGGGAAGGGAAAAAAATATTGTAAGAAAGCACTAGAGTAAGGAAAACAGATATATCCATTAAACCAAATTACCAACAGAGCAAGCAAGCTAAAATCAACTGTGCTGATTTCAGCTTAATCTTGTACAAACATGCAGTAAACCTGGTACACAAACATAACCAATGTAATTTCCCAAAGTTTAAAACACAGCAGTATACTTTGCCGAGAAATGTTGTCTGCAACACTGGTGTTGTCCTCAGATATATTATCACTCACATCACTGATGTAAGATTCATCATCAGAAGCCTAAGACATAAATAAAATATCTATTAAGTCAAATGCCTATTAAAGACAGTGACAAATTAGACAAGAATAATTACTTGAAATACAAATATTCAAAGAAATAATCTCTACCTAATTAGAGTTATTAACTAAATCAATGCGATGTTTCAGTCAGCCCACACTGCCAATACACTAAAAGTGTCGATACAAATGCTATGCTTTGCTTATGTTTCTGAATTCCTTATTGTAAACTAAATACAGACATTAAATTTGCAAAAAGGTGGCTTCAAATGAGATCAGAGATGAACATGAAATTTACAATGTAAAGTGCTGGGGATGGAGGGTGAGAAGAGTCAGATTTGTGCTCTTCATAAAGAACCAAACAATAAAACAAGCTTGTGTTTCAGCAAAAAAATTATATAAACATCAACCTATCATTTTGCAAAACAAAAATCACGTCACTGCTGAGGCTATTTTTAAGAATATTTTTTAAACAACTTTCTTTTCCCAAGAAATATTACTTTTAAAACATATTACAGTATTTACTGATAACAGAGTATTTATCATAAGGCCTACACCATTTGAGGGTGACTTTATAGTTTCTATTTTGTTTGTCACACAGACACACAAATTTTCCATGCCAATATAGACAATCCAGACTATTGAGACAGACGTACTTTACCCCTGCCACATGCAATAACATAAGGAATCATTCCATCCTTTACATGAACAACCCTAGCACACGAGCAATCCTTGTCAACGAGAAAACATGGTGGCACATTTATTTCTTCTTACAGAAGAGCTGTGATAGACCACAGCAATACAGTGGCTTTATAAAAAGGTATTTTTAGAAATAAATACATTTTTAAAAATCAAGAATTTATTCAGGATAGCACAGGAAAGCTGTGGGCAGCAACATGATTCACAAGTCTGACCTGTACCTGACTGCTTCAACATTGAGCTTGAGTGAGACAGTTCTTCAGACTCTTGCCTACTTCTGTGATTACAGAGAATAACTGTACATACATACTTAATTTTTTTTTAAATAACATTTTAAAATCTAAATTAGTTGACTGCATAGTCAGACCTAATTGCTTCTGTCTATATCACCCTTCTCTGAAATGGCCATAGTCTAGCAAGGACACGTACTGAACATAAGCTACTGATACAAACAACTTTCAATCCAGTTTTACACTTCATCAAACTAACTTCCATACTCCATCAGAAGGGAGTCTAAGGTTCATTTATCTACAGCTTACCTGTTCTGTTCTCTTTATTCTAAGTAGCATTATTTAAAAAAAAAAAAAAATTAAAAAAAAAAAAAAAATCATTCACTAGAAGTAGCAACACCTAAATCTTTCCAACAGTAAAGCTGCAGCATGCTGCCATGGCCTACCTCGTTTTCTGACGAGCTGGCAGAGAGAAGCACTTCCTGTGCATCAAAGAACTCTGAAACAGATTCAGACATAGAGAGCCTGCTCTCATTAGAAACTTGCTGAGACAATGGCAAACTGACATGAATTTGTTCACCTGTCTGTAAATAAAGCACAGAAAAGTAAAAGCATTATTTCTAATATAAAGGAAATATACATAGAGGGTGTAAATCAACTGAATATTTTTTTCTGCGACAAACATAAGGACAGATAGTAAAGAAAGCATTTTGGTAGGGCTTTCTGTGTACCTAACTCATGAGACTTTAACAATTACAAAATAAAGTGCATTTCAGGCAGTGAGATACACATCTTCATTAGAGGCCTGCTCAGCATCAACTGCAGAGTTTTAGCAGTGTGAATAATCACAGATCTAGACCTGTGTCCAGAGGAATGATTTTGTAGGTAACAGCTGGATTGTGTCAGACAAGTTCAACTATGAAATTCAGGTGAAAAGACAACTGGTCATAAATAATTACATCACTAGGAGCTAGCTTTGATACAACCAAAACAAAAATATAAAGCCAAGGAGTTCTAAGATACTTTCAAAATAAATGCACCTGTGAACCAGTTTAGTAATAGATGTTTGAAGTTTTTGAATATTCAGGAGGATGACTATAATACATATTCATGTGCTTTTATTCCATGTTTGTACTCAAAATGTCATTTGAATTATGTCAGTAACACTGACTCAATACTGCTAAAGGGAATGAACTCTCCATGGTTTATTATAAAGAGAATTCAACAACAAAGGCAAGGGTTCAAAGTTGTGTTATGTATCTATTAGTAGTGGGGCAAGCTAATTTAAATAGTGGAATATATTTTCCTCTTCCTGTTACTGATGAGAGGAACACCGGATTTCAACATGTTACCCTACAGCCTATCACTTAGAAGATGGGGGGAAAAAAACCAAGATGTTCTCTCTGTACCATTCCACCAAAGGAACTGCTGCTGTATGGGGAAATCAGCTTCTGACTTAATCCCTTAATTTAAACAGCATGCTGCTTCTTGGAGATAATAGAGATTAAACTACTGAAGCCCCTCTAAACACAGTTAACTCTTCAAATTGCAACTCCATCCCCATCAATCCTACAATAGAAGTCCTGCAAATGGTTTTGCTGACAACTTAATCCTGTAGAATTATTCCACATAGTTGCCTCCAAATGCACTAACAACAATAACAACAACAAAAAAATCATAAACAGGCCAAGAGATCAAAAACATTCCTTTTTCACTTGGCCTTATAGGTTTGTAGGTGGTTTATGGGGTTTGAGGAATAATAATTGGAACAGAACCGCATTTCACTGTTATCTTTACAGGAAGTTATTAAAATGTTATCATTTTATATAAGCAAGGGGGACTTGGAAAAATGTCCCTACCTGAAAAAGATGCTCACAGAGGCACTAACTACACACTGCAAGTTTATATACGTATAAACTAATCAAGAAAAGAAATGAATGAGAGATCTGGGAACTTCTTTGAAAAACTCCTTCAGTCAGACACATTTGTACCAAGCTAATGACATATTTATGAAAAAGAAAGAGCTAGCCAACAAAAAAACAGAAAACAGAAGAGATGGTGATTGCTCAGAACTTCACAGCAGATTACTGTGCTGTGGCATCGCTTTACCTCTGTCTTCTCTTGCTAGCCTCCAAAATGCTTGACTCATGGAAAAATTGTTTAGACATTTTTCAAAAAGGAAACAAAAGTAATTTGAAACATGATTTTTTACTTTCCATTCTTGTTGTAAGAGATAGAAGACAAGAATATTATAACTGAAATGGCATAGGTATAGAAAAAAATTAGTGGAAATTACAGAAAAAATATTTTGGTAAAATGCAAGCAGAATGGCTGTCAAAGTGACTACATTAATAGTAACATATTACAGCTTGCAAATTCAGATTTGTCCTTCTCATGAGGGAAGCCTGACACATTATTAATACAAATGTTTGGTAATCTGTTGACTGAGGAAAGCAAAAAAAGAATGAGTAGATGTTGCAAATGTCATATTAGTATAATGGTTGGTTCACAGACTGAACCTTTTGATTCAGCAGTGTCATTAAAGATATTAAACATCAGGTCATTTGAGCACTTGCATGATCAGGCCATTAAATACTAAACTGCTCTGCTGAGTTGACAAGAAGCTAAGATATCAAATTGGTTAGCTACTATGTTACATTCAAATACAGTAAAACCTCACTAATCCCCACAGTCAACAATCACTATTCCAAAACTGGAGTCCTTCCCTGTTTCTCTGCAGAGACCAAGCTGAGTTCTTTCATGAGATCTGACATATACAAAATAAAAAACAGAAGTTGTATTTTATGTATGACTTTTTCCAAACTTTTGCCAATCTGAAAAATCCTATAATTTGCCAGGTATGTTTCAGCCATCAGTGAGAATTAGCAAGGTTTGATTGTACTCTAAATCCATTAAAGGCCAAAGGCTTACCTCATCAGGGCTAGGGATAATATTTACACTGACAACCTGATCACAAATAACAGATTCTGAATGTATTCTGTTCAAGCGACTTCTTAGTTCAGCATTCTGGTTGAGAGCCTTAAAATAAAAATTGCACATTTCATTTAAAATTAAAAAGTAAATGTTAAACAGAAGAAAAAAAAAAAAAAAAGTAGTAGCGTCTTCCCAGCAATTTCCTAAGAGATCACAAAACCTAATTTCTTCCATTTCTAGAGAGATACAAATTTTGAGATCCTCCCTAATATGACTTAATCTTTTGGCTGGTTTGCTTTCAGAGATTTTCAGAAGGCAGGGGGGACAGATATTCCCCCACAATGCAAGAGTGGCATTCTATCTTAATTCTTCAGATAGCTCTTTGGCAGGTATACTGGTGGGTGATACAGATTATAGACATGGGGAGTGAATGCTGCAACAAAACTGCAGAACAATGGGAACTACCTGCAAAATGCCCAAAGAGGCAATTCTTGGTTTACAACTACAGTCCTTTCTGAACGAAGGTTATCAGCACTTGGAGCCTGCAAAAGGAAATTGCTTACTTTCCAGCAAAAGCAACATAATTGCTAGTACCATCGGATGTTTGCCTGTTCAGATTAATTTAGTATATTTGCATGTGTGCACTCATTTCAAGCTACCAATTCATCACAGTGTCACAAATCCTAATAGAATTCAACTGGTGTCTGGTATCTGATTTTTCTCCTTTTTCAAAACTCAGATTATAATTTTGGGTACATACTGTCTGTTACCTAGAAATACTCAGGTGCAAGATTCTGAAATCTGGAAAAAGCAGAGTATGTTACATACCTAGAACATGAACTGACTTAATCCTAATATATACCCCACACTGAGGACTACAGAAATGAACAACAGACTGTTCTAGTACAAAATGACTGTTATAATGGAGTATGAATCTTCTTCTGCCTCTCCCTAGATTGCATAAATGTACTGAAACAAAGTAGGGCCAAAGTAAAACCGGTTAGCTTAAATTGTCACTAAACAGTTCAAATTACCCCATTTTGCTTTGTTTGGAAACAGTCTAGGCATGTTCACAGCTGCTATCTACCAGGAACAGAAGGTCAAGAGCAGCTTGGCAGAAGCTTCTTAAACTGCTCAAACCTGGTCAACAGGTTGGTCAAACCCACCTGACTAAGGTCAAATTTCCACCTATTCCCCACTGAGTCTATGAACTAATGTGTGACAGTGACTTTTAGACTGATCCTAGAGGCCAGAACAAGAAGAAAATATTCACCCGTTTGGCACAAGTATTTTGCAAGCTGAGGACTTACTGTCATTTTACCTCTTCTTCCCCACTAAAGCAAATGACAATTTTTCCTTTTGCTTAAGTGGGAGAGACACAAGAGTGTAACAGGCGGATATCTGAAAATCCTGTTTATCCATGATTATCCTATAATTCATAATTCCTTTTGCAGTTAAAGACACGGACATATAAAAGAAATCTGAAAAGATATGGTCAAAATTTAAAACTTAATGAAGAAAAGAATATCTCCTTAGCTGTGCTGGAAACAGCTCCAGGAAGGATATCCAGCATTTTTATTAAAACACTTGATCTTTTTTCTTTACTTTGGAAAATCATAACAGATACATGCTTACACAAACAGATGATATCCTTCACCTCCACATGCACAATGTATGACATAGTTCTGGTAAAGAACCTAGCTTTTTCTTGTCTCCTTCTACCTTAGGAAATGGTCAAAATATAAAAGAATTAGTGCATCTGGCAACCTACATGTGCTTGAAATCAAATCATGAACATACCTGAGAGAGGGACTGTCTGAGGTGTGATATTTGAGTGTTGTGGCCTGTAAGGTCCTGCTCTGAAACAATCTGCTTAAGCTTCTCCTTCTCTATAGCTATGCTGTTAAAGGCAGACTTCAAAAGAGAATGCACTAAGGAAGAAGAAAAAAAGTAAAAAGTTTTTCCTCAGCTACAGGACTGCACATTGACATCTATTACAATGTTTCAGCAATACAGACAGTGAGATTTCCAACCTACTGTTACAGAAATTTGAAACAAAGACACGAACTTCAATTAATCCGCGCCAAATTAAGTACAAACACAACATCGGGTTGTAGTGTGCATACTATATGTTCACATATAGGTCATCTGAGCATACTCTTGGTGCTGAACACATGGAAGGGTGCATATTTGGAAAACCTGTATCCAATGTGTGTTCTTCTCCTTTTTAATTTTTCTTTTCAGAGTAGCAGAAAAAAAAAAAGTTAGTCCTGCTAAGTCTTAATATTGCACTAAGATGATTACCTGACCTTTAGACACGTTTTTGACATTTTTTTAAGACATCAGTGTCACATTTTTCCTGTGTTTGTTTTATTATAAACCCTTTTAAAATAGTACTTTACAGTCTGTAGGACCATTCATTGATCTGCAATAAAGCAGCAATTTTAAAGTACATTCAAGAAATAAGCTCTTCCTTTTTAAGTGCTAAGCTCTTCTGTTGTTTCCACTGAAATAGAAAACATTCTACATAAATGAATTGCACATTATATGTAGCAGTGACATTTTGATCAATCTTTGCGCAGAAATAAAGCATTTTACTTAGAAAAAAAATTCTTGCAAATTCAGTCACATATTTACAAAATGCAGAAAGTAGTTCAGAAGACATCTAAAAAAAGAGAGTCTACCTATCTCTATATTCATGATGTCCATGGAAAACATAAGAAGAATAATACACATCATCTTTATGCAAGCCACCCGACCAGCTAAAAATCGTTATGCAGTATCAGCTAATGCAGATGAATGCCCTGGCCATAGCAAAGTGAAGACAAAAAATTAACACAACGAAGAAGCACAATAAAGGCTAAGTTTGACATTTCCAGTTACCTTTTTGTGCCATCAGGCAGAATTCTTCTTGAAGCTTCATGTACTCAGTGGAGCACTCCAGGGGGTCTGTTACATGGCTTTGGGGAGTCTGAAATTCAATGTCTGCACAAAGGTTGGGATTGGATGAATGCAGACGAACAGGTGACATTGTAGCACTAAAAGGGACCTACAGTAATAAACAGTGAAGAAATGTGCTGTAAGGAGCAACCAATCTGTTGACTCTGCTGGAAGCAAAATACAAATTTCTTCAGACTTCGTTCGCAATGTGAAGAACATGGTAAGAGTAAACATGTAACTTTTTATTCTCCTAAGTCTCAACACAGCTGATGAAGAACTTTCTTGTATTTTTTTCACTGAAACAAACAAAGAAAGGCCTAAAAACATTGCTAACAGCTAATGATGGAGCACTTCAACTCTAACATTTACCAAAATGGACCATTTCCTAATGCTTAAAAGATGACTGGAAAATTGAACCATGTCCAAATATAAAGCATCATGTGTTATCTGAGAGTACGTGTATAACAACTCTTGTGTTACAATACCAACATTTGAAGTATACAAGTTCCGCCACAAATCTAGAAATAGGGTATAATATGATCAAATATATCACTGAAATTTTTCAAAACTACTGGTAAATCTTGAGTTGAAACTCACTGTAATGGCAATGAAGAAGGCAAAAGCACAGAGTAGTCCTATGTTCTTTAAAACTACACAAATAAACAACAACCAAAAAAAAAATAATGAACGCTCCATTTCATTTTCATTTAAAGTATATGAACCGTTCAAAAATGCAAAGAGATACCGTTTAATAAGACAAAGCAAACAATTTAGTTTATTATCACTTCTACTTCTCCTTCTCCTTCTATACTTTTCAGGTACAGCTATAAAAATATACATGCACATTTTTTTAAGTTATATACAGAAGTATCATATGTGCTTAACAGTGACCTATATGCTACAATATGCAGTGTATGGCTACCACTGTTATATGTGTGATGTGTGTGTGAATGTATGTTGTATTTTATTTTAATTTTACCATTTACACACATTTGTCTAAAAATGAGGCCCAGAACTCAATTTTCGAATTTAAATGCAGAGGAAAGGCATGCAGTACTATATTTTGTTACTTAAATATTAAGTACTGTTAAACAAATTGAACGCATTAAATCAAATATCCATTCATTATATTAATTGAATGGATAAATCAAGAATTATCACACTGCAGCCCAATGTAATTATTCAAATATGAAAAAGGGGCCAAAATATAACAGCATGATTAAGAGCAGAAGAGAATATAAAAAGTCATATTACTGAGAATTTTTCTCAACAGGTAAATCCTATACTCCCATCATTATTTGAAATTGATACCTTGTTATTTGATTCCATCAGGTAATGGCTCTATCAATCCCTTCCTGTAAAGTTCTTATCAATAAATGTTTTAGATTTCCAATTCCTCAATGAGACCCTCAAAATCCTGTTGGATCTATTCATCACATATTATTTCACTTATGAGCATATTCTGCAAAACACCATTTTCCATCTTGTTCTTCCTCAATTTCCAGATACATATAGCATAAAATAGCAGCTCTGTGGCACCTTTCCAGTATAAATTTTATTCTCTTCTCTCATGTACTTTCATTTCCCGCTATATCAACAAAGTACTTATTTTTTATTGGACCTCATTTTAGCCTCATATCAAGAAGACTTCACTAACAGGAGACATAGAATTCCTTCCATTTGTACTGGATATTTACCCCATTATCTTTTTCACAAGTACCAGTATGCCTCTCTCAATAGCCCAACAAAACTAGGTTAATTAACTAATGTGACTAAATATAGGTTAATTTCAAGTTCCCTTTACAAAACATGTTCACTTCTTAAACCAGAGAGCATGTTCCCAGAACCTTCCGACTGGGAGCACCACAAAGATTCAATTGCTCCAGGTGTCTCCAAGGAGGGCAGAGGAGGTGGCTACATGACAGCTGTGTGTACAGAGAGCACAAACTCAACCCTCAAGCCCATCCAGAAGGCATGAAAAAAGCTGCCAGGTACAATGCAGGAGCTTGAGGGAGAGTCCCCACAGTCTCATGTGTATGTGACAATGGTGCAGGTTGCCCCAACCCCACAGAGACTGGCAGAGCTGCAGGCAGGCTGCCCACACGTGGTGGGGGCTCTTTAGTCACTTCTATGATGAACGTAGCTGAAAAGACTTGCTTCAGATTCATCATTTCTGTCTCATACCTCAGGTGGCCAGACTGACAAGCAATGTTTCTGCAGTGAGGTTCACTGGAAAATAACATTTTAAAGCGTGTGCTAGAAACAGCATTTACATGTTCTATAAATACTGTCACACTGTTTGCCAGAAATATACATCCACATGACAGACACAAGTAGCTGTTTTGATGACTGCTTTAAATACAAGAACCAAAAATACTGAACAGTTGACTGACATGAACTCTTCTCATATGCATCTTTTAGAAAAGTTTCCAAGCTACTTTCGACAACAGAATGAAAAAATCCACATTCAATGGGCCACATTCCAAGAAACACTGCCAACATTATTCTCTTCCCCTTTTTTTCCATTCTTTGCTGTGGTTTCTCTCTGCATCCATGGTGACTTGATTCTGACTTGATTAGCAATTCTTTTTGTTTTGGTTTGGGCTCTTTTTGTTGTTGCTGTCGTTGTTGTTTTGGAGGTTTTTTTTTTTTCAAAAAAAGAAAAAATAAATGTTTAGCTTCTTGATGCACCACTCTGGCTTTCTCTGTACACAGATTCTTCATGGCCTCAGATGCACCATGTCCTGACTTTCTGCCAGGGATATAATACTTGCTCATCCACCACCTTCTTCACAATTACATGTTCATGTAGGAACAGGCTGTCCTGATAGAGTGGGTTTTAAGGAAGCTCTCCTCCTTCTGCTGTGCATTTAACTGATGTAATTCTCAGTCCTGATGTAAAGCCTCAGTCTACACACAGAGCTTCACAGTCTGGGAGATACAAGCACTTTGGTACCTCAGCCAGGAAGAACAGGCCATTACAACTACTGCAACAGCTATAGAGTCTTTAGTGCCTCTAATTTTCCTTCCTCCTGTGTTTTTTTCAGCTTCTCCAAGACCTCTCTCAACAGGTCCTCACTTCAGCTGCAGATAACTCAGTGGCTCCCTGGACTCCTCTGCCTTGCAATTCTAAGTCCAGCTGTATTTGCCCTACTTAAGCACTCCTTGCTACAGCTCTTGCCAATGCTATTTAACTACTGGTGAACCTGCTGGTTAGAGCCTCCCACTGATACTCTTCAGCCACATTAAACTGAGAAGAGGGTTGATTTCTCTACTAGGCAGAGAGATCAATGAAGTCAGAACAGCAATCAGTTATTGAGCACAGCATTCAGCATCAACTGATTACAGGGGATTAAATTTAGATGAGTTGATCTGGGAACTGGAAAACACTGATTTCTCTCATGCTTTTGAGCAGGCCCTAATAGTAACAGAGTTTTATGTATCAGATAGCAGGTGCTCAAGGCTTAAGCAAAAGCTATGTCTCATCTAGGACATTCATCTGTGGGCTGGAGCAGCAGACCCTGGAATACTTCAGCCTGGTGAAGCAGATATTCACTGCTTAAGCTACATCAGGAGTATGCATTTAAAGCTCACTTCAATCTGGCTACACAGAGTCTTCCTCATCTAGCTGCTTTATTAATCAGTTGACAGATTAGTACTAATGTCAGTATTGTGCATTCCTAGTAAATGCTTTCCTGACAAAGCAGCAGCTGAAGCTAATTTGATTTCACAAAAAGCTCTTTCCCCTCCCAATTCCCAGCCCCTGTATTGATTTCATAGCTCCAGATTATATGTCAAAGTCTTAGGGAATTAGCAAAACTAAATACAGACACTAGAGGTAGTAATATGACTTTTTGGGATTATGGATGTAAATAGAAAATGTCTCAAATGAAAAGGCTAACCTTATACTACTTTAAAAAAGGGGTGGGGTGGCGTAATTTTATAATTCCATGGTTGTTTGTGACAAATCTTGGTTCTGGTGTCTTGTTAGAGACTGTCACAAGAAGCTTTTAACAGAACTTGATAATTTCTTTCCATTTTGTATAGTATATAGCAGAGTATGTCAAAGACACGTTCAAACAGTGCAGGGCCTGAATCTAACCGTCACTTGCACTTGCATGAAGGAGGAGGAACATGTTCAAGATGTAAGCAGGCTCAGACCCACATTTATGGAATTCATGTCAAACCTGACCGCTTCTAAGAAACTCAGCCCAAAGTGGGTAGCACGGACACGTCCAAGAAGAGCAAGAAATATTTTCATAAGCTTATTATACATTCAGGTTACACAGCTTCCCATCTTCAGAGCTATGCCTTTGATTTTTAAATCCACTCACTGTTGTAGCCACTGCAGCTGCCAGTCTCTGCCGGCGTCGTGTTGTGCTGAACTGGCCCTTCGGTGCCGGCCCTTCCTGACAGTGAATGCAAGAAGAGAAGGAAGTAGAAAAAGAGAAGGGAATGGGTGATGGGACACAGGGAGATGAAAGATGATCAGAAAAGGGAGAGGGACAGTCTTTAAGTGGATTTCAGTTTTGTTAACTTCTACGGCCTACACATTCTGAGGACATACTGCATGTTTCAGTTGTGTATGCCAGAGACATAAAAAAGCCAGATGCTTCCCTAAAGTTATTTCCAGATGAGCTGGACTGCGGTGCACTCACTAAGGCTACCAAAAAAAATCTTCTATTAGCATTGCCGCTGAGAGTCAGAAAACAATTATGGAATAAGAAAACAAAAGGATGTTATCGCATGGCAGAGAACACAAAACCCAAAATCCTTCTAGTGGTCACTTGACCACATGGAAGATGAATTCTAAATGAGATCACTTTGCATTAGTAGACTTGCATGAACAGTGGTAACTGAAGGTGCATGTATCTCGATGGTAAAGTTTTTCACTGTGTGTGTTATAGTGAGCTTGCTCATGTAAACATTCCTGTGCACAGCTCTAGCATTTCCATGCCCATCCTTGAGCCTTTTTGTTCATTTTCTCCACATACTACTTTGAGTGATAACTACTTCTCCCATACATTACTGAAGGCTTGGCTTCCAAAGCAATGCAAAAACTCAAATAAAGCAACACAAATGAAAACGAAGTATTCCAACAACTCCTTCCTTTTCTGCATGCCTAACTTGTGACCTCATCTCAATTAATTTCACTTTTATTTTAGTTTCAATGTACCATGATGAATTTCTTAAAGTCAAGCAAGTAATTTCTAATGTAGAGAAGCTCCATACCTATCAGAAAGTCTTTCTATTCAATGTCTTATCAAAAGGTCACTATTTTGAAGCCATTTTAAGATTTTAGAAGACTAGAAAAGCCACCCTCCTGCTTTAAAAAAAAAAAAAAAATTACAATCCCTTTACATTTTTCTTCCCTTATCTTACATATCTTCATCTATAGCCATGTCAGTATTTTTATATCTATATACATTTTTACTTTTTCTGAAAGCAGCCTTGGCAGCATACAAATAACAATGGTATAGATTGGATACATGGACACCATGCTCAAGAACAGGATATTGTAGTTCAATTATTAGTTGAAGTGTCTTCCTCTAGTAACATTCC